TGGGGAAAGTGTGTAAGAGCCACCGCTGGATGGAAACAGGCCAAATGTCTGTGGTTGTTGTGTGTTTTTCCTTCTCCTCCATCAGTCCAGCTACTGGCTAATGCACATGTTCTCTGTGCAGACGTTTAACTGACTTTTTGCTTCATCAATGCATGAAACTGTAGATTTATTGCTTTTGCAGTTAATTAGTTGGCTTCATTGCTGCTATGATCCTGACACAAAAGGCTTTAGATTCAAACTTGCCATTCTTTTTCATTCATTTTTTATTAACTGACTTTCAGAAATACAAATGAACTCTCTTGATAACTTGAGGGAAACCTGAAGCATTGAAATGAAGGACCAGACTTGCGTTATTGTCAGTTTGTGGTTTGTGGTTTGTGAAAAATGCTCCGCTAACAGGAAGGAGCAAGTATAACACGTGTTTGTCTTATGGAAGGCTCACAGGTTTAAAGTCCATCCATCTATCATTCTCCACATCTATCCCAGCGTCTCGGGGAAACACCCTGAACGGACGGTCCATCCATCAAACACAGTTTTAAAGACTTCTTCCTAAAAACACACAAAGAGTGGAAAAGTACAAATGCATTCAGTGCAGCCACACAATGAAACTTTTAACAGCTTCTTCTCAAACTGATGATCAAATAGACAAAGAAACAGCCAAGAGACCAATAACGCACCACCACTACAACTTTAATAGCTCTTTATGGAGTGTTTATGGCCATATAAATGAAGAAAAAAATCAGGCGAAAGAGTTTATAGATTCTGCTCTTTAATTTGCCTTTTTTCATCACAATGTTTTTTAAAGAATGACTAAAGGGAGCTCTGAGCACTTGTTATGTGGCACTGTGTGTGTGTTTTTGGCCATTCTGGGTGACTTCTAGGTGTTTCCCTCCGGTCTGGCATGAAAAGAGTCTCTTCTGGTCTGTATATGTGACTCTGTTTTCTGGTTCAACAGATTAAATGGTGCGTCTGGTCACAGTAGCAGAAGTAGGAGCACAACCGATGCACTTGGTAAAAGCATCATGTTAAATGCACACTTCACATACGTTTTCATTTATGCACAGCAGTAATGTGTTTTTTGTAGCACAGTCTTGATGGTATGTTCCTCCTGTCTGTATGCAGCACATGCTGTAAGTCACTCTCACAGCCATATAGAGCGTCCAGATGCATAAATGCAAACCTCAAATTAACATAAACGTGTTGGGTGCATTAGCACATCCCTGAAGCACACAGGGAGCCAGTGTGATCCAGCGTTTCCAAAAACTCCTCTGGTTTCTCGGCCTGAAGGAGAAGCCTTCTTTCAGCGCTGGCATAGCGTGAGCCGGGCCTGAAATCTGACTAGCGGTCGCATCGTTTGACCAGGTCTGGTGAAGCGTGACCCTCTGGGACTGCTGGCTCTCACGAGGTGCTTGTGGGTGAAGGTGACATCTTTGGCCCACATGCGGAGACCACACGGCTGTCCTGGATGTCTGAAGGGAGTCATTCTGTGAGCGTAGAGTGGAAAAGAACTCGAGCTGAGAGATGCTGCGAAAAACCTCACGTCAAAATTCCCACCGGTCTCTCTGGAACCTGCGGAAGCTGGAGAGTCCAACCATGTGTATGTGTATGAGGAGATGCTAATCAATTCAGCTCGCTCTTGAACTTCGGTCATAAAGAGTTTCATATCCGATGGCAGAAGAATAAGAAACACAGTCTGATGTCCTTCCATTCCTACACTCATCAGTAACCAGAGGAAGATCACATCACAGTAACAACTGCATCTGCAACCCATGTTGTTTCTGTAAAAGGGTTAGATTCATTAAAGTTAAAATGTAGAGTTATAATTTTTTATCATAAGCAATTAATTGGATACATTGTAAAAATGATGTGCTCGATCTGCTCTGCTCTACTCGATAACTCGATCTGTTAGTGAGTGTTAATCTTTGCTGTCCTACAAAAATAGACTTGACATAAAATATGTGAATTTTTCACACCAGATTAGGCTGACATTTACACACAGTAAGACAATGCAATGTCTGACTATTGGTTAATATAATTGTGCAGCATCAGCTGAAGAGGAAGGTCATTTCAGAGAAAGACCAAGTTATTGCATTTTGATTATGAAGACAAGCATTATTTTATGTAGAATTAGCTCACTGATGAATCATTCAAGTGTGTGGAACATGCAAGTATGTCACTTTGATGTTAATGTTGATTTAAATACAAATGTAATTTCCCCTGTGATCATTAATAACAGAATTGTCGTAACACTGGGTAGAAGCAGTGTTTCATTCCTGAATGAATCAGAGTTTCAGAACAAATTGGTTGAGTGAATAATTCAAAGACTCGCTTATAAAGACATACAGTAGGCCGCATCCAAATATGCAATATGCTGAATTCACAGTATTCATAAAACAGAAAAGGAGTCGTGAATGGCAGTGAAGTGACGCAAACTGACGCTGGCACGTCTCATGACAATGACAAGATTACGATTATTCATGACACATTTAGAACATACTTTTTTAAACTGTGGTGAATTAATTACTTATTCAAAAGAAGCACAGACTCAAAAGAGTTTGCGCTTTCAGATGCAGCCACACACTTGCTTTCTTCCTGAATGAATCAGTGTTTTTTGAACGAATTGGTGAAGTGAATAAGTGACCCTCTCACAGAGACAGCGGCTGTGTCTGAAATCACCCACATACCCTCATTTGTTCTTCCCTACATAATATTACACTAATACAGTCTACTTGAAAGTCCAATCAGTTTTCAGGACCAGAACAAAGATGTGTTTTATAGATGTGAAGCTTGCGGTTGATAAACTTTTAAGTATGTATATTATTCTTACACAAACGCATCAATTTGCTTCAGAAACCTTTATTAACCCCCTGGAGCCATGTGGAGCACTTTTTATGATGGATGCACACAGTTTATTGGACTTCTATTGGACTATTGAATCTCAACAGCCATTCACTGCCATTATAAAGCTAGGAAGAGCCAGGCCATTTTTTTATATAACCTCTATTGTATTCATCTGAAAGAATACATCCTTTTATGCTTTCATAGGATAGTGAGAATGATAGCAGGATGATCCCTTCAGTTATCATTCATTTACAAAGATGATCTGATGTTAGTGCAGTGGAAGCATATGTGAAAGAAATGCCTTTCTCCCATTTTGCAAGTAGTAATTATGGATAGACCTAGGCCTGTAATCAATATAATCTCTCAAAAACACTGTTAACAGATTACAATCTATGCCACATGCGGCCATATTTTCTTTATTTTTCTTTGTATGTTTTGCTATTGTTATTAATTTTTAAAAGTGTTTTTCAAACAGATGCAAATGTTCTGCTGCCCTCTTGTGTTTGAATCAGACATTCAGCTTTTTTCATTCAGCAGACATTCAGTGACAGGACAGTCAGTGTGGGGAACATGATCTAGTCCATCATGAAAACACTGGCGAAAGCAAAGACAAAGTACAGACACTACTGTGATCAGACGTCACACATGGCTCATTTGGATGAATGTCAGAAAATTCACTGGTGTGAGCAGATTGGGATTTAGTTCTGATTAAATCAGAGTCTAGTCAGTGTAATGGACAGGTAAGAGTCCCAGTGACATTATTATGAGCCGTCAGAGGAGTGTGATCTAACAAATTAAACACACCTATAGACAAACATTCATAACTAGACATGCACTTTCTGTCTGTTTGTGCTGATGCTGTGGTTTCTGGCACATTTAATAGTTTGCTGAGATTATGAGCAGTCCTGAGTCACGTCTGTTTCTTCAGAAACACAGCTCAGTGCCTTCAGTCTTGAGTTACGAGCACATCCATGAAGAGATGCTGGAGAACTCTGATCTTCAGTTCTGATGGATAATGTGTGAGGAATGTGGTGCAGGTCTGTGCAGCTTCAACCCGGAGCGTGTCCAAACAAACACACACACGACAGAACAAACAGCTCCAGAGTCGAACACAGACTGCTGTTTTTATCAACCAAACATCTGTTGATAGTGAGTGAAAGCATTAAGCTGATGTCCTAGTTTTGGCTATTCAGATCATTTCTTCTGTCTTGGTTTGATGTTCAGAGTCATTTGTAGTTTGTAACTCTGTATGAGGATTACGATCAGCCCAACACTGTCACACTAGCTGTGTTTCCATCCACATATGTTTATGTACATTTTGGGATATGCTTAAAAGAATGCTGTAAACACCTAGATGAACATCACATTTTGAAATGTGCATAAAAAATAACTCATGCACTCAACTGAAGTGTATGATTTTTTTTATTAAAAAAAATAATACAGCATTAGATAGTGAGTGAAAGCATTAAGCTGATGTCCTAGTTTTGGCTATTCAGATCATTTCTTCTGTCTTGGTTTGATGTTCAGAGTCATTTGTAGTTTGTAACTCTGTATGAGGATTACGATCAGCCCAACACTGTCACACTAGCTGTGTTTCCATCCACATATGTTTATGTACATTTTGGGATATGCTTAAAAGAATGCTGTAAACACCTAGATGAACATCACATTTTGAAATGTGCATAAAAAATAACTCATGCACTCAACTGAAGTGTATGATTTTTTTTATTAAAAAAATACAGCATTATTGTTGTATTCAACAAGAAGAAACATATGCATAAACTACAACAGAAAAGTTCACCAGATAAATTCTGATGCTTAACGAAAGACTCACGTGACTTTGTCTCAACAGATGATATGATTGGATTACTAGACTAACCAGCAAATAAATCTCAAATGCTGTAATTAATTAATAATTCTGACATGCCTGAGCTAGAGTCTGTCATTGAAATGATTTGGGGTAATTACACATGATTGTGTTCAAACATCAGGCATCCAAACACAAGAAAACACGACAGCGGTTAAAACAACTGTAAACACCTAGATGAACATCACATTTTGAAATGTGCATAAAAAATAACTCATGCACTCAACTGAAGTGTATGATTTTTTTTATTAAAAAAATACAGCATTATTGTTGTATTCAACAAGAAGAAACATATGCATAAACTACAACAGAAAAGTTCACCAGATAAATTCTGATGCTTAACGAAAGACTCACGTGACTTTGTCTCAACAGATGATATGATTGGATTACTAGACTAACCAGCAAATAAATCTCAAATGCTGTAATTAATTAATAATTCTGACATGCCTGAGCTAGAGTCTGTCATTGAAATGATTTGGGGTAATTACACATGATTGTGTTCAAACATCAGGCATCCAAACACAAGAAAACATGACAGCGGTTAAAACAATAAAACAATTCATAAATCAAGGAAGCCAAAGCTGCTTGGCACATCACTAGCAGACAGGGATGCTGTAGTGTTCATGAGCTGTTTGTGACTGCATTCACACGCGGTCGGTTCCCGGTCGTCCTGCGGCGCGAGGAGGTGGGTAGGATTTCCCGGCGGGTTTACACGCACAGTTACAGCAGAGCATGATCCCACCGATGAGAGTCAGAGCCGATGCACCCCAGCCCACGTACAGAGCCTTCCCGAACTCATATCTGTGCACACGACCAGCATCAGCTCACAACATCCACCTCACCACAGCATTCAACCTCACAACATGAGAGGAGCTTCACTCACCAATCTTCAAGACATTACTACATCAATAACAGTTTTCACAATTTTTGAATGGATACACTCTAAAAAATGCTGGGTTGTTTCAACCCAATGTTGGGTCAAATATGGACTAACCCAACTGTTGGGTTAAAAAGCTAATTTAAAAATGTAACCAAAATTGAACCCAACAGTTGGGTTAGTCCATATTTGACCCAACATTGGGTTGAAACAACCCAGCATTTTTTAGAGTGTACCATCAATAAATCAGTATTGCTTAATAATACTTCAGTAAATTCATATTTACATATGTATTATTGAACAATTAAGAATCCAGATGTTAGATGTATAGATTTATAAAGCCTCACAGGTTACAGCACACATGATACATTTACTACATTCTGTGTTTTACTAGAGTAAACTCCTGACACTCACCTTGCATTTGTAGGAGTAAATGGATCAAAGAACGTCTTCCTTATGTTTTCTCCATACCAGCTGGTGGCAACAAGAGCGCAAACCCTTGTAGAAATAAGAAGAGATCTGACATGAACATGCTGCACGGGAACAGATTTTAATAGTTTAATTACTTTGTTTACCAGACTTCATTAAAGTGATAATTCGCCCAAAAAAATGACAATTCTGTCATCACTTACTCAAGTTCTAAACTTCTGTCGAATACAACACTAGATCTTTTGAGGAGTGTTGGTAATCAAACAATTGCTGTCCTGACATTTAAAATAGTTTGTGTTATGTTGAAGTTTATATTGTGCTGAAGGCCGGAGTGTGTGGTTGGGCTGTGAGCAGATACGTGAATTTGGGTTTTAATGTCAGTGCAGTGATACGTAACTTCTTACTTGTTCATTGCAAACACCTGCTATTTTAAACAAATAATAACAAATAAGACTTAATATTACCCACTTTTTATAAGTAATTCTAAGTAAATAATTAGTTGTGTAATGCATTGAAAAATGTTAGGTAGACTTGCATAATTTCTTTTAATGTGTCATATCCGTTTTATCTTTACTCAACACATCTGATGAAATCCACCCACACAAACCGAGTGCTAATGGTTGCCTCAGAGTTACTGAGTAGATTCTACAGAGAGGGAATAGCAACATATCTGCGATGATGAAGAGAACACCTCCAGCCACAGCCACTTTGTTCTTCTGTTCTTTTTCATCAGACAGGCAGGTGGTGCACTTCATGCCGACGGCAGCGACCAGCAGACCGACGCCGCACAGAAAGATGGAGGTGATCATGAAACCGCGAGCCGCCTGAACCTCT